TTTTTTATTTATTTCTCCTGTTTATTGGTTGTTAAAAACTCAATAAAAACCTTGAACATGTTTAGCTTTCTTTTGGAATCAGTTTACTTTTTTACCACGTTGTAATGGTTTTCATTCAATAATATATCATTCTGATTAAATGGTCACAAAAAAAAAAAAAACCTCAAGAACATAAGTCATAAGTTTAAGTATCAAGATAATTAGAGAATAATAATAACTTTTTCTCCTCACCAAATTCAAAGGTCAACTTCACATCGTGGTTGTCTTTGTCAAATTTTCCATCCATACAGAGATCAATGACAAAGTCTTGACCTCTCCTGACAATGAACCATGGCTTCTGTGGTTCAGCGTTTACACCCAGCCAGGTTTTGGTTGCCTCGTATTGATCAGTGTGGTGCTCCTTTGAATTCTGGTCTATTTTGAAGTCGATGTCCTTGCACTTGACTGCGGTCACCTCTTTTTCAATCTCCACTGGGGCCCTTTCTAAAAAATAAAACAAATCAAAACACATAAACAGTTTCATCTGTGAAAAATTTCATTGGGCTATCATTTTTTTCATGTTTTTTACAGGATCTGAGATGTTTATAAAAGAAAAAAATTATATTATTGCTACAGACATATAGTACTTATCCAAATAAGCCCTACCTTCTATAATTATGTGTTAAGTCATTGTAACAAAGTTTATTTAAAATTTTTTTCATCTATCAGTTCCCAACCTACGTTCAATAGGGTGACTCCCGTTTTCGCCCACACCCACACACATAATTGTAAAACCTAGCAAGTAATTTTATTCCAAAAGTCTTGGTTATAAATATTTACAACATTTCATAAACATATTGTTCCTATAGAGAAAGAAAGAGGTAGTTATGAACAGGCACTTGCCTTACCCTATATATGGGTAGTATATAAATACATGTAAATCTATTTGAATGCTGGAAAAATGTACTTACTTCACTTTAATAAAAAACCAAACAGTTCCTATCAACCCCCTACCCTCTCCATCATTTTAAAATCTTTTCCTTTAATTCACATTTATTATTGCAGTAAGGGCATGTTACAATACTGAAACATTTTTCTTTATATACCCATTGTATTTAGGTTTACTAGGCATTTTGCCTAAAAATTACAGTAAAAACAGGTAAAGAAGCTTTGATCTATTCATTTGTAAGAAACACTACTTCAGCTGAAAATTTTCTTTATAAGCTGACTCATAATATAACTTTTTCACTTTTTCACAATTATTTCTTTTCAATTCCCCTGCAGCATAAAGACAGACAGTCCTGAAAATGGAAAATGTCTTGTTCAAGTATTAAATTTTAAATAGAGAATATTCCAGTACATGCATCTCATCATGCACATCTTCAGCTGAATGAATTCCTGTAGTCAGCAATTTCAACAGGGGGGGGGGTCTGTTCTATACCTGTACCTGTCTCCGGCTTACTTTAGCTACTGTTCTATACCTGTACCTGTCTCTGGTTTACTAACTACTGTTCTAATACCTGTACCTGTATCTGGCTTACTATAGCTACTGTTCTATACCTGTACCTGTCTCTGGTTTACTAGCTACTGGACCAGCTGGTCTGGCTGGGGTACCATTGGTTGTGCCAGCTGGGTTACTAGCTGGAGTGTCGGCCGCCCAACGCCCAACTCTATAGGTGCCCCTGTTGGTGGACCTGGCGTTAGCGTTATTGGCGTTAACACCACCAATGTTGGCCCTTTCTGGCTGAGGTCCATTCTCTGTATCTCCCTTACTTGTTCCACAACCCATGGTATATCAAAATAACAGTCTTCTTCCTCCAGCACGTACAGAAAACTGTTTCAAAATGCCACAAAGCTCACTTAAGTATGTCTCATAACAGGAAAGTTAGTCTGTAACTACTGGAGTCCCGACTGGGTTCATTTAACTGATTATTCACTAGGTGTTATCCTACATTCAACTCTCCTGAGGTAGGTGACCCAAGTCATAACAAATATCTTTATGCATGCACTCAGACTGTCATTGTTGTATTTGAATGGTTACCAGTGGCTTCACCAAACCTTATTGTTCAGATCTTTTGTTGTTAGTTTTGCTGTTTACTCAGAGGCTTTAAGCGACACACAAATCAATAACAAATGCACTGGGATACCATACCTGCTTTATTGCTGTACTTATTTTTACAGCTCTTTGAGGACATCTGAGTACAGACTTTAAAATTTTTATTTCAGGGGCATTACAAGTGCTGATATAAGTTCGATTTATTACCTGACGTTTCAATGAATATAATTAGTGACGTTATTTTGCTCTTTATATTCTACGTACAATACATTTTTGTGGGCATTGTTGACTATATGCATTAAGGCTGCAAAAAACGCAAAACAAATTGACTCAGTTACTATGTGCCGAGTGACGTTCCATGGCAATTTGACTACCTAGTAACCACAAACAGCAGAACCAAGACTATAAAATATATGTTGCAGTATGCATATCCAGAATATAAAATACGGGTGTGGAAAATAAATGATTCAGTAGTTGTCTAGCGCGTCTATCTAACATGTCATAAATAAATGGCTATTTACAATACACACATTGATTAGTTCACTTGTTTCAGCTGGTGGGGAAAATATTGTATTTACTAGTATGTACCTGCAACTCCTGTTGTGGCTGTTGGTCCGTATACATGGACATTACTACAACGATGTCTACTGGTAGGCTCAGCTGGCTGTCTGCGTCCTGCGCCACCATAATGACGATACACACTACTCCAAAACCAGTTGATGTATTCTAAAGAAAAAGCGACATGCAATTATAAATTCTAAGAGTACCACCAAATTCCGTTTCTCATAATTCTCTGCACTACTGTAGTTTTAGTGTAGCAGCAATTACAAAGAAAACTGTCGACCTGAAGGTAGTTAGGTGTTGCTAAATGGTGCAATGAGCGTAGCTTTGCTTTCTATATTTGCATGGATATACCGATACAATATTAACGTATTTATAATTAATATGCTTTTGCATTGCAATATTACCTCTGTACATGGTTGATCTGTCACTGTCAGGCTCGAAGCTTGTTGTCGGAGGCACACCTGTTGTTAAGTCTACCTGTAGAATCCTTTATGGGAGGGTGTCAACACCTTGTGACTTTTACCTGTAGGTCTACCTGGTTTGATAACTGGACCCTTATAAAAACGCCCTTATAAAAGCACTTGGATCGATCTTCGTTTTCTAAAAGAATAAAAAATGTGCACCACGAATCCAATCATGCACTACCTGTATGTTTGTATTGTAAACACAAGCAGTATGGAATATACGCAACGTTTACAACATGTACTTCTACTGTGCTTGTTATATATATATATACATACTGATGAACGAAGTTCAAGATTGTCCAAGCTCGGTACCTGCAGCAAATCGCTCACTCAAAGCCTTCACATAACCGTGTGCCTTCCACGTATTTTACTTTCAAACCCGTAAAGGCGCTATAAGGGTGCACAAACAGCGTTCATTCAAACAACAGACAATGCTTACCTTTCACGTTGTCAGGTGGGGCGGAGAGTACACACTGGGTATGAAGACGACAACGCAGTGCACATAGAGCACGTATAGGGCCTGTAGGCTGTAGAAAATTGAGGACCGATCGTTCCGCGGGTGGACACACTTCACGCACGCATGCACCCGCCGTGGTTTAGATCTCAAATTCAGATATATTATTTGCACTCTTGTATATCATATACGCTTCACCGACTCTTGACCTATGGTAAATTTATTACATGGTTAAGCCAGCTTTGTCAGGGGCGGATCCAGGATTACTTGAAGGTGAGGTCCGGAAGGCCAAGCCTCGGATGGGAAGCCGACAATTGCCCCTTTCAACGGCCCCGAAAAAATGGTGTTTTGGAAAGCAAACAGTGCCCTTTGGTACGGTTAAAAACTATGATTTATCTTGTCAAAATTCTTATTTCAAGAGGGGAATATTGGTGTGATATTTTTTTCAAAAACC